ACTCCCCCACCACCACCCCTCACCAGCTGACCGCCTTCCCATGGTACATCACGACCACGTACAGAGCATCCAGGAGACGTACGCCCGCATCCTAGAGGACTACCTGTGCCACCGCTTTAACGGCGAGTCCACGCTCTTCGCCCGCGTCATCTCCAAGCTCACCGACCTACGCAACATCAACGAAGTGCACTCGAGAATGCTGCTCACCATGAAAATGGACGAGTTCGAGCCGCTGCTCTTGGAGATCTTCGACCTCCCGGCAGACGCCCAGTCGCCGTCCTCCGGCTTCGCGCCCAGCTCCACAACCTCCTCGTCCTCCACGCCGTCGCCAGGGGGCGCCACGGGATGATGATATTACTTAAGCCCCTTGTCGTACACTGGGTTAGCCCTTAGAGAGGCTTGATCGAAAGCCGGCCTCATAATTGGTCTAAAGCCCCATTTACACGCACAGTTCGTTTGATTGACACACTGTAGGATATCGAAAGAATGGCGGGGATCCTGTCAACTTCCCTTTAAAACTTAGCGTGGAAACGAGCAATCCTCTCGATATCGAAGGTTTCTCAGTCCTACAACCAGATATCTGGCGAAGCTAGATATTTTCCTGCAGGTGAACTGAAGGCATGACGATGAGGGAGCGGCTCCTTTGATGTTGCCCAAGGCAGAGTTGAAAATACGTTCCAAAAATTTCCTAAATATTGGTCAAATTAAAAAAAAAATATTTTCATGATCAGCGACCCAATGTTATTAGTCGAAATCCCGTGGGGAGCACCATTTAATGCTGGGTTACCATGTTAATTTTTTTTCTTTGTATGTGTATTTTGTCAAGGACTGACCCTTGAAGGAGTTAAAAAACTGAACGTCTAAACGGGACTTCTCTCGTCGACACACTGCCAGTTCAACGATGACCCGGATCTAGCGTCCGTCGGTTGAATAAACTGTCAGTTTGTCGATGAATGAACTGCACGTGTAAAGGGGTCTCTATCTCGTCGTCGTCGTCGTCGTCGTCGTCGTCATCATCGTCGGGGTTTTGTTACCGTTTTTTCCTCAAGCCCCCCCCACCCCC